TTTTTTTTTTTTTGGGGGGGGGGGGGGGGTGGTTAAGTAATACTGTGGTTTTATTGTTCTCATACGTTTTGCCACTTTGCAGCTCTAGATGGAAAGATTTAACATATTCATTTAATTTTAGGCAATATTTGGGGGAGTTTTCCGCAATGGTATTCATACCTGGTGCTTCCAGGAGAAAGGGCCCGTGTTCGTAGCCATGTTCAGGCCCTTGGGGATAGCAATTGCAGTGTTCATGGGCGTCGCATTCCTTGGTGATACCCTTTATCTTGGCAGGTATGTATTAGAGAACCCAAATTTAATGCAACATAGCTCTTAGACGCACGTGCACACACACACGGAAAATTAGAAACTAAGTAGGCGAGAGTGCAGCAGCCGTGTGCAGAAGCATGATTTTCTAGTGAGATTTACTCTTCATCTTCTTATATTGCTGATCCTAAAGGTCCATATAATATGTATGCAGAATACTTGGGTCAATTATAATTGTTGTTGGATTTTACGCTGTACTGTGGGGAAAGGCGAACGAATTGAGCTTGAATGATGATAATGTTGTCGAGGGCTTGGAATCATGCTCACAGAAGACCCCTTTTTTAGAGAACAATTCTCAGGGAGAAATTTAGAGATGAGCTTCTTATATCATCCGTATAAATGAACTGATGCGAAAATGTTCAAGGTATCAATTATCTCTGGAGAGAACGATACACGCATAACTTGCACAATCATACCATTCAGTGTCATATGATTTCATCCTCTACCCTTGAAATTATTTCCCTCTTTCTTCCCTACTGCTCTCTCTCTCTCCCTCCTCTTTTAATTCCTCTTTTTTCCATCTAATAGACAGACTTTGGAAGGGCGAAGGATGGAAAAAAGAGATAGAAGAGGAGAAATATTATTAAAATCTTTTTGAGTTAGGTTATGAGAGATAAATCCCTTAGTTTAGGTGGGCATAAATTAGTTCAGGTATTTTTGAACCGTTGAACTAAAAAAAAAAATTCGAAGACAGGATATTATTTTAAAAAATAATCCTATAATTGCAAAAGATGTTATTAGTCGTCTGATCTTCACTGTGATTGGTTCGATATTAATATTGATTGATTTAACATTGGCGCCACGGTTGGGTATTGTTGTTTTTTGGAATGTGCCCTCCAAATATTTATTGTGATTACCAGATTTTTGTGCTTTAATTTGTATTTTTGGTTGATCACGGATTTAGAGGTGTTCATGGGCCGGGTCGAGCCTGGGTAATGCAGGTCCAAGTTCTTATTCAAGTGAGTTATCGGACGGACTGAGCTTCGAGTAGGGGTAGACTTCCTGCAGGCTAACTATCGAGTATATTGGGCTGGCTTGCTCATGGGTTTTTTTATACACAATTTTATTTAAAAATAATAAATATTTTTGTAATTTAACATTTGTATAAATTATATTTTTGAATAAAAAAGTCATAATGGATAAAAATTAATTTTATTTTTAGGATTCTTTGGAAGTCGGTACACATAATTAGACTTATTTGACAAAAAAAAACATAAAACAAAATGTGAGTTAAAAAGTAATAAATGTCTATTTTAGAGTCATTTAATTCAAAATCTCTTATCTTTAATGCACATTAATTCATGTGTGTTTGTTAATACATATAAATACGTATTTAATTTATCTTGATTCATGTGTATTTGTTAATATATATATATATATTTGTTGTTAAATAGCTTATTTAAATTTTGAATTATCTTAAATGCACTTTGATTCATGCGTATTTTTTTTTAAAGTGATTTTGTTTTCAAATTATATTTAATGAACCTTGATTCAAATGTTTTTTTTTTGGAAAATAATTTTATTTTTAAATTAATTTAATATCTGAATAATATAATAGTATAATAATAACAGTGTAACAAAAACACTGTAACAAAGACAGTGTAACAAATACACTGTAACAAAAACAGTGTTAAGTAATTTTGTGTATATGGTAATAAATTAAAAACGGAGATGAACTATTTGAATGAAATTATGTGTTTAACAAAATGTAATAGTACAATATTTTGTGTAAATAATTTGTTACACTATTATTGTTATACTGTTACATTGTTAGTGTTACACTGTTATACTTTTATTGTTACACTGTTATTGTTACATTATTATACTATTCGGATATTAAATTAATTTGAAAATAAAACCACTTTAGAAAAAAAAATGCATGAAACAAAGTGCATTAAAAGATAATTCAAAATTTAGATAAGAGATTTAATAACAAGTATATATATATATATATATAAACGTGTATATATAAATATATATATTAAAGTTTTTCTATAAAACTAGGAGATGTTTAATACACCACTTTTCAAAGAAAAGTGGTGCATTAAATACACATGGAGGGTAAAAATGTCACAATAAAAATAAATAAATTCAAAAATACAAATAAACATCAAAATTAAGTATTTAATAACCCTACATTTTTAGTGTGTATCTTTTGTCAAATAAGTTTAATTTGGTGTACCCCTTACAATTAACCCTAATTTTTAATTGAGAGATGAACTATATCTAATAGAATGAGTACATTCTAACCAAGTTGACATCTACTTACTTATTTATCATTTGTATTACTCTACCCTTTAAAATTTGTATGCTTAATACATGGATTATTTATAGTATTTAAAATTTTAAAACTTTAAATTTCGACATTGAGAGACTTATTTTAAATTTTTAAATATAATGATCTAAAAGTATTATTTTTTTTCAAAGAAAATGTGGACGACTTATGTGGGTGAGTTTGGGCTTGGTGGACGGGCTAGATAATGGGTTTGGGGGCAAACTCAAATCTTCTTTTTAAGAATATTGGGTTTAGACGAGTTAATTATTAAACCTATCAAATTTCGAGTTTTTTCAGACTAGATAAAAGAACTCTCGGATAACCTGGCCCATGGGCACCCTACGGAATGTAAAGATAAGGAACCTGAGTGAAATTATGTTTGGGGATTCTCTGCGGTCATCAAATCGTTCCATCCTTGCACTCAAACAAAGCACCTTCTGTAGCTTTGTCAGCTGAAAGACACCAGATTATGTATACACTGTTTTGCTCAGTGATGTTTCAGTGGCCTCCACAAGCTGTATTTCACTTTTAGTTACAATATTGAAATCCTTTGCTCTAGTGGCAAGAAAAAAGGGAAAAANGAAAAAAGTAAAGAATATTTACTAGCCCTAACAATGCTAGACACGACCTGCGAACCAAACTCGAAATCGATACAGGATTTGCAGGTTTGGTACCCGACTATAAATGTCACGGTTAGAGGTTGAACAAATTTTAACACGACATTAACCTGACATGGCACCACTCATTATCAGCACTATTACCAACATTGAATGGATAGATGTTGATTTTTGTTATTGCCCTCCTGATGAGGATATGTTTTCCAGGATGGAAAAACTGGATCTAAGAGGCTCAGGCGGTCTAGCTGTCTCTTTGGGTGCTGTGGTAGCAGTGTCAGGGGCATTCATAGTCACCCTCTACAAGGGTCCACAAATCCTGATGGTTTCTTCCCCTTCTAATTTTGCTCATCATCATCTCTATTCACAAGTATCGAACTGGGTCCTTGGAGGCATTTTTCTCTCAATGACTTCCATTCTAACTGCAATCTGGAACATCTTAATGGTAAATATAGCCACCTATGGTACAAATTGGAGCACATGACCCTTGGTAGCACATACCCCACCGAACCCAAGTGTTTTGGGAATGGGAACATTCATTAAATTTGAATCGGTTTTGGTAAAATTGAATAATAAGCACTTCCTTAGGTACTTGTATTCAAATTTTCAAGCCGTGGAAAGCAACAGATATAAGGTTGGCAAAAAGTCATTTTTTTTGATCCGTCGTGGTCATTTAACTTGACCATGGACATTTTACTGTATTGGCAATAAAAGTGTATTAGGTCTGGATTTCATAATTTAACTATGACTATAATTTGTATTTCATGTTCAGGCAGCAACTGTGAAGGATTTCGCAGAAAAAATCACAATCGTGTTTTTCTTCTGCTTTTTTTCAACCATCATAGGTTCAATTTTCACTCTTATCGCGGAACAAAATCTAAATGCATGGACCTTGAGGCTTGACATGGAGATGATTGCTATTGTCTATGCAGTGAGGAATCTTTTCTTTTTGTTTCGATTGGTCTCATCTGTTGTGTTTGGATTGGGGTCAAAATTGTTATAAGATGGATGCGCTTTGTCAAATTTTATTTTTTGATGCTGCATCCTCCCTACTTTTCTGAACCAATTTTTAGTAACTTCTATGCTCATTCCAATTTCCATTCAACAGTCGTGTAGATTGACAACTTGCAAACTTGGTTTCTTTATTTTCTTTTATTAGTATTTGACAAAACTTGAAAGGAGTTTGCATATCACATTTAATAACAGGCCTATATTCTTGAACCAATTTGTGTGTACGGGGTTTTGTTTTTTTTTTTTT